CTTAGTAAGATAAACTGAAAATGATTTACATATAGACGTGATATAATCAGTTATTCAAAGAGAACAGGAAGCACCAAGAGAGAAGCAGCTCATCATGTATAAGTTATCCCCAATAAGATTAATAACTGGCTTCTCATTAAAAATCAGAAGTCAATAAAGGAAGAAGTTTTGTGACAAAAACGGTAGTAGTTGATCTTAATCAAAAGAAGATGGAAGGAATACACAGAGTCACTATCCATAATAACAAAAATATGGAGACAGTCTAAAAGCCCATCAACAGAAGAATCGTTAAACTATTGTGACTATTGTTGCAGTAAACATGGATGTGCATGTATCTATTTGTATCACAGCTCTTATTTCTTGAGAACATAAACCAAGAAGAGGGATTGCTGGGTCAAACAGTATTTCTGTTTCCAACTTTTTGAGAAAATCCCATACCAATTTCCATAGTGGTTGTGCCATTTTACAGTCCCACCAGCACTATAGAAGGGTCCCAGTATCTCCACACCTCTCAAGCATTTGTTGTTTTCTGTTTGTTTGTTTTTTAACTTCACTGTTAATGCTGGTGTGACATGACATCTCACTGTTGTTTTGGTGCTGTGGGCTAATGCGTTAGACTGCAAAGTCCTTTGAACTGCAATGTCGGTGGTTCAAGCTCACCAGCTGCTCCTTGAAAACTCTACACAGAGTCACTATGGATCAGAATCAACTTGACAGTACTTAACAACAACAATAACAACAATGACTAATGAGGGAGTCCTGGTGTGGCACTGTAGGGTAATATGCTAGACTGCAAGGTTGGTTTAAACCACAGGTCAGTAGTTCAAGCTCACCAGCCACTCCTTGGAAACCCTATACAGGATTGCTATAGTTTGGAACATACTCAACAGCACTTAACAACAACAACGGCTAATGATTGTGACCATTTCTTCATATGTTTATTGATTGCCTGAATGTCTTCTTTTGTAAAGTGTCTGTTCATGTCCTGTGCCCAGTTTTTACTGTCTTTTTCTTGTAGAGGTGTTGTAGTAAATTTTAGATATTAGTCCCATGTCTGATACATCCTTGCAAAAGATTTTTTTCACATTCTGTGGTTCCCTTATTACTCTTTTGGCAGCATCTTTAAGAAAAAGAAAAAAAAAAGTTTTTATTGTAAAATTAGTGATAGTTTACAGGATAGATCATTAGGTTTGCACTCAGCCAATCATATTTTGTTTCACTGCAATGATTACAATTCCCTCCATGCATCGTCAGTTAACAATAATTATCTTTATCCCTTTTTTTTTTTTATACACAAAATATATATTCATTTAAACGACCAAAGGGCACATTCTGCAAGCCTGCCTCCTGACCACTGGCACATAGCCTTTCTCATTATATGCGTCTTGAGTCCCCAGTTGCTCTCTCTCTATGCCATCACCTCTGCCTCCATCTCTGGTGT